ATTAGGACTGAGAGAGATCATCTGTTATCAGTTCACAACTGGTACTAAGAGAGAAATGTTTTAGTAAGGAGCCATTTTATAAGGGCTGGACAGCAAGTGGGTGGTAAATCAGAGGCAAAAAAAACCAGACTCTTCTTTCTAGGATACTAGCAATAAAACGGAAGAAAGATATAGGGCAGCTGATGGGAGGCTAGGGCCAAGTGAAAGTCATTTTAAAAAAAGGGCCAACACCTAGGCATATTTGCAGATGGCAATACAGGAACCATGGGGCAACTAGGTGGCACAGTGGATAGAACACCGTGCTTGGAGGCAGGAAGACTGGAGTTAAAATCCAGCCTCAGATACTTGCTAGCTGTGTGACCTTGGGCAAGTCACTTAACCTTGTTTGCCTCAGTTTCCTTATCTATAAAATGAACTGGAGAAGGAAAAGGCAAACCACTCCAGTATCTTTGCCAAGAAAACCCCAAAAGAGGTCATGAAGAGTCAGACATGACTGAAAAACAGCTAAACAACAACAGGAGTCAGGAGAAATGGTGATATTTGGAGGGAATGATAGATGGGGAAACCTTTTTGAAGGATACAAGTAAAGTTGGCAATCTTGGCACAAAGAAGGGCCATCTTCCTCCTAGCTTGGTATAAAGTAGGAGAGAATAGGTATGGAGGAATTCTAAGGTGTGAAGTGGGGAAAATGAGAGTTCATGAGAGACGGACTTCATTTTTTCTCAAGGTTAGCCCCTCTGCTGAGAGAGAAGGAGATAGAGATTGGGACAGGGAGCTCGCACATTAGCAGGTCATTAAAAAATGTTTGTTAAGAGAAGAGAAAAATTAGGGGAATATGATAAATCAAGCAATAAAGAACAAAACAATGTAGAGTAGTGAGGGCTGAGAGTAGTCTAGATGACATGAATTTTCAGTGGATCAAGTTGACTTGGTTATGTGACCTCTTACACAGGTGTCCAGCAATTGAGGATTAGAAATAAAAGATAGTTGAGGTAGCCCAGGGTAATAGCTTGGTAGGTTGTGAGTGATAAAAGGTGGACAAAAGGCCAAAGGCTTCATGGTAGAGGACAGTACACAACTGAACTGGATGAACTGGAGGGTCAGGATCAAATAGAGCCAGAGAATGGGTGATCAAGTGAGCAATCCGGGAATGATGGAGGCAGTGGCAGGATGACGATGAAGAATGGGTGAGGAGTGAGACAGAGAGAGAGATCAAAAATAGAAGACTATGATCAGAAAGAAGAATTTCTGAATTCAAGACCACTGAGGTGGCCTACTTCTAAAACACAGACTAAGGAGATTCCTGCTTTGCCAAGAAAACCCCAAGAGGGATCACAAAGAGTCAGACATGACTGAAACGACTGAGCAACTGCTTCAGAAATCACATATAAAAACATCAAGTCTCTAATGTTTAAAGAATTAGAGGCTTTAGCCATCTTAAAAAACAAAATAAAAGCTAGAAAAGGTCAGGTGTTGCCCTTGCTGGAATACCATCCTCACCTCACTACTAGATTGGACTCAAGATCAGGCAGCATAAAAATCACCTCATTATCAAGTTGCTATATGACTGAACAATTGATGGCACAGCCATTTTTCAAAGAATCATAGAATTTTGGAGCTAGAAGTGATGTCAGAAATCTAATGCCATCACTTTTACAGATGAGTGAAGTGAAGTCAGTGAAAAAATGTGCCCAAACAATACACATGAAAACAAGTTAAACATGTAAAATGTCATGTGATTTAAAGCCAGTGAGCATGACAGGGTCCTACTCACCTCTAAATAGTTCAAAGCAGTGTTAGAAGCATAAACCATGGAAGAATACCAAGCAGTTCTTAGAGGTCATTTTTACTATAGGCAGTGAAACACAAAAACATATCCTACAACTAATAACACCATCACTCAATAATGATACCATATATCCACCTGGATTTAAAACAATGTTTTTCTGATGTTTTGGAACCCTGATGGATCTTCTGATCCAATGATCTGGAATGCTCTTTGCTCTCCATTGCTACTTCCATAGATTAAAAAAAAAGTTAGTGCAGTTGGGAATGTTGTAATTTAATTAAGTCCTTTCAAGACTTATTTTTAAGAAAGTTCTCACCACAGTATGAACACATCCTAATTTATTCTATATCACCGTATGTCAGGTTTCCTTAGAACAGCATTCCATTGCCCTTCCCTTTGGGGGACGAGGAGAAAGACCATTCCATCAAGTCTTCAGCCTGCTCTTCCACCTTCCTTCTGCTCCTAGGACATGTCCCCCTCCTCTGAGCTGCCTAAGGTTCTGAGAGGACTCCACCTGGAGGCCAAACCCTTATGGACAATGAAAATCGACTTGAACTCCTCCCTGGTCACATCCTCTCTATCCCAGTAATTCTGAACTCTCTGCCGTCATCATTCCGATCTCATTAGTTGTGTCCCACTGCCTGACTCCTTATTCCCATTCCCTTCACCCAAACTCTCAATGTCCCACTCTAAAGCTGCCTACCCTCTCCAATGTGCCTCTGAAATGCCTGTTCCATGGGTAACACACTTGTCTTCATCTTAAATCTCTTCCTTTCTAAATCCTTCCATCTTATATGCCTCACTGCTCCCTGCTGATGAGTCTCCTTGGCCTTTCTTTCCAACACCGGATATATTTTTACTCATGCCCCTGACCCATTGGTCAAGGTCAGGGAGTCGGACTACTACTTGTTCTCTATTGCCAGTTCCAAGATTTACCCCCTGCTGCAATCCCTCTGTGGCCTTTCCTCATTTGAGGTTCACACAATCCATAGCAAACACCACGCAATCAAAACTGGGTAGCTGTTGTCTACAAATCTCTAAGTCACTGCCTTTCTTTCCTCAATAACTTCAGTGCCTGGCCCATGGTCTTTCTTCCTCAATTCCTGCTCTCATGCTAGGGGACTTCTGAAATACAGATTAATACTCCTTCAAATACCTTAACCTCACAGATCCTCAACTTACCTAAACGTGACCTCCTCTACTCCTCCACCACCGCCACATACAAGGATGGTCACACTCTTGATCTTGCTAGGACCACCATTTTCATATTCATGAGCTCTGAAATTCCCCTGTCTGATCATAATTTATTGTGATTCTATTTCTCCCTCTGCCTTGCAACCCCAAACATCATTCCTTGCCGTCACTATGACTTTCAATCCTTCAACCTCTCAATTATTCCGAGGCCAACATCCTGGCATTAGCTACACATGCTTTCCGTCCCCATCTTGGCCCTCTGGTGAACCAGTGCAGCTCTACGCTGTCACCTCTTCTTGAGTCCCTGGCCCTTTTACCTCACTGCCAAGCCTCAGCCTTGGCTCAGGATCCCACCACCTGCTCTTTAGCTACTACATACATATTGTTCAACAAAGCTGGAGTAAATCATTAAGTAATGCTGACTGGAACCACTGAACTTCCCTAATTAATTCACTATTCCACTCACTACATGGACATTCTGAACATTACAACCCTTCTCAAACTTCCCATGGCTCCCCCATCTCCCACCCTCTCAGATGAGAGCCTTGCCTCATAGACAACTGTAAAAAACTGAGTCCATTTACAGTGTCTCACAACACCCAGGCACGCCTTCTGCCACTGTTTCCTCTTACGTGAAGAGAAGGCCTTTATTCATGCCAAGGCAAATCCCTTTACAGGTACAAATGACTCTATTCCATTCCAACTTCTCCAGCAGTTTGCTCCCTCCATCACCCCCTAATTTCACTTACCTTCAACCTCTTCTTCTCTACTGATTGCTTCCCTACTGCCTCCACAAATGCCCACATCTCACCTATCTTTGAAAAAACTCTTACTTCATCCATTCAGTCCCACGCCTCTTTTTCCCTCTGTAGTTAAATTCCTTGAGAAGTCTGCAAATAATCAATGCCTCCACTTCCTTTCCTCTCACTTTCTTTTAAACTCAACAGTTTGACCTCATCATTCAAATGAAACCATTCTCTCCAAAGTTACCAATTATCTCTTCTTAACTGCTATATCTAACAGCCTTTTCTTTTTGATCCTCATCCTTGACTTTTCTGAAGCCTCAGGAACTGTTGAACACTCTCTTCTTGTTGATACTCTCTTGATTTTAGGTCTTCATGACTCTACTCTCCCTGGGTCCTTCTTCCTGTCTAATCACAATTTCTCCTAGGCCCTCTTTTCTTCTCCCTCTATACTATTTCACTTGGTAATCTTGACAGCTCCCATGGATTCAATTATCATCTCTATGTTGATGACTCTTAGACCTACTCATCTAGCCCTAACCTCTCTTCTAAACTATGGACTTGTATCTCCACATTAGGCCCATCAAACTCAAACATGTCCAAAACGGAGCTCATTAACTTTCCCCGAAGGCCCTTCCCCATTAGTACCTGGAGCATTACCATCCTCCAAGTTACCCAGTCTCAAAAACTACGGATCATCCTTGACTTTCCACTCTTACCTCCCCCTCCCTTCTCTCCTCTTGTACTGCCACTACCTCGGCGCAGGCCACTATCACTTCTTCTTGCTTAGACCACTTGTTGTTCCTCCCACATCCTCTCTGGACTCTGGGCGTTTTCACTGGTGGTCTTCCATGCCTGGAATCTTCTCCTTACCATCTCTACCTCCTAACTTCCTTCAAGTGCTAGTTAAAATCCTGTCTTCTACAAGAAGTCTTCCCTAATCCCCCTTAATTCTAGTGCCTTCCTGACACCAGTCACTTCCAGTTTGTCCTGTGTGTAGCTGTTTGTACACAGCTGTTCTCAGGCTCCTCCCCCATTAGACCGTGAGCTCCTGGAGGGCATCCTGGAGACTACCTTTTGCCCTCCTGTGTATCCCTGCTGCTTAGCACTGTGCCTGGCCCACAGTGGGTACTGACTTAGAAAAGAGGAACACTTCTACTGGGATCTCTCTTTGACTTGCCAGTAGCATTCTTTAGAATGACCCTGCCGTTTCTGAATGTGCTTATCCTGTCTGCAGTCTGAAGTGCAGCTACTGATGTATCCCTGTCTCTTACCTGTAACAGAAAGATTGGTTACTGCAGCGCTGGTTAGGGGGAGTACGGGATTGACCGTCAGGGTAGTGGCCGCACTGCTTGTCACAAGGCTTGGTGTGGTTGCCACCTGCAGGAGAGAAGGTGAAATATACATCAAAGGGCTGACATCTGTAAGGTAACAGAGCGATAAGGACTCCCTCAGGAAACCTTCATAGACCTGTGGGGGGTAGGAGGGAGGCGATAGAGTAATTTAGTAACTTATACCTCTCCCCCTCCCTTCCCCACGTAACTCAAGAGGGGATTTAAGATAAAATTGAAAAAAAGTTTTTTAAACTCTAGTTACAGAATATCAAAATGAGAAAGCTGTAATAAAAATGATTTTACATGTCTTCCTAAGCACTATCACTTAAAAATGACATTGGTGTCAGGTAAGTGAACTTTGCTATGCTGGGAGGAGTTCTATTAAAAACAGTAGTAAATCTGCATTTTACCAGTTTTTACAGGATAAGTTTTATGGATACCTTTTGTTTTTCTGGCTATTCCTTTCCCCTTCCACCAAAACAGCACCAATCTCACTGAAATTGATTGCCTCAGGTTGAAAAACAAACAAAATTACAGGAATTTAAGTCCTCTGTTTCTCAGCTTCCCAAGTCAGTAAAAAATATGATACCAATTATTGGAATGTCTAACAAATCAAGAAGCATTTATTAAGTGCTTATCTATAGAAAGAGGTCAGGAGATCTAGGCTCCTGTTATGGCTTTCTTATTGCCCAACTGTCTAAGGATGGGCAAGGAATTTACTGGTACTCCAGGCACCTCACATGTAAATAACAATAACAAAAATATCTGCTCTTTTTTTCATGAAGCACTACTTGGACAAAGTATGATCTATAAACCCAAGCAGTACCATCAACATCTGAGACTGTGGCACAAATATCTGGGAATGGACAAGGCTTTTTTTTTTTTTAAAGAGAAGACAAACAGGAAAAATGTTACTTTTAAAAAATAAGAAATGCAGTATGTCCCTTCCCCAAGATCGTTAATCTGTACAAAATGAAATTTTTCTTTATTTCTAATTGACTCCTCTATTTAATAATTACAGTCTAATGACTCTGAAATTACCTTTATCAAACCCACAGGTTAAAACTTAGTGTGACTTTGTTTAAAGAACTTCCTAAGTCCAAAAGATTCATTACAAAATTAAAAAAAAAAGAAACAAAAACAGAGAAATGCAAGTTGCATAGTCTTCAAAGCTTCAGAAAAATTGTTTTCAATTACATGCCAGTGGAACCACAATCGCATTTCCCAAGACCCAGGATAATTAAATGACTACTATATATCTGACAGAGTCTAACATAATATCACATTCTATGATAGAAATTAAGAAGTCATGATGGGTTGCTCATGACACTCAAAAGAGTTATTGGAAGAAATGTAAATTAAAATCATCCCAAGGTTCTACCTTACACACAACAGATTAATAAAGGTGATGAAAAAAGGGAAATCACAATTGTTGAAGGGAAAATGGGAGGACAGACACACTAATGTACTGGTGAATTGGCCTAGTCATTCCGGAAATCAATTTGGAACTGTACACAAAAAGGCACTAAACTGTGTATACCTTTTGACCTAGTGAAGCACTACCAGCTATATATGTCAGAGAAGAAGAAAGAGGGAAAGGAACCACAGGTACAAAAATAATCACAGCCGTACTTTTTGCTATAGCAAGGAATTGTAAACTAAGGCAGTGTCCATAAATTCATGGAATGGCTGAACAAGTTATGGTATATGGTATATGAATGTTATAGCATACTATTATACTTTAAAGAAACGATGAAAGGGACTGAATCAGAGAAACCTGGGAAGACATATGTGAAAACTTGATACAAAGTGAAAGGAGAATGGGAAGAATTTATATAATGACCTATACATATGACATTTTACATAAAGAAGAAAAAAAAATAAATGTAATATCCATCCATGTAATAATCAGAGGTTAGAAGGTAACACATGCTTCCCACCTCTTTACAAATGTGGGTTTGGACTACAGAAGTAGACAGGATGCACGTTTTCAGACTTGCCAGTTGGTGCAGATGTCCTACTTCTCTATCCTTATTTGTTACAAGGCAGGAAGGGCAGGGGGAGGGAGAGTGATGCCAAAAGAAAAAAAAAAGCGGGGTATCAATGGAGCATTTTAAAAAACACATAGAAGAGAATGGAAGGAAGTCTAGTGGGAGGTGACAACTTTGAAGTGTGTGTGTTGAATTTAGGATGTACTTTTAAAAAAAGGAAAGGACCAGTTGAGGGTCACAGTCTCTCATGACACTCCTATTACTCTAGGGCAACAGTGCTTCTGAGGTACTTAGCACAGTGGCCACAGAATCTATGCTATGGCCTATGCATGATATCTTTCAAAAACACAAAATATACAAATATACATTTCTTACCATCTATGATGCAATGTGGATGTTAGTTTAAGAAATGAGTAAAAATGAAGAGGCTGCGTTTCTTGTTCATTTGGAAAACAGATCTCTTACCTAAAACAACTAAGAAGTAGCAATGTTTTGTGAGAGAACGTTGGAATCACACAAAAAATTAACTTAATTCAGATGATCAAATGATTAAAATAAAGGAAGAGGACAGTGGAACTAATAAAAATGGGGAAGGAAGAAAAGTGATTTACTTTTTAATTAGAAATATCATAAAGAATAATATGTAAAATATGTGGTCTGTTTCCTGATATTTAGCAGCAGTTGTAGATATAAATACATCAGCTTGGTAACTCTTAAACGATGAATGATATACAAATAACAATAATAAAAAAATCTATTACCTGACATTTAGAAGTTTAAGGCTTACTAGCGCTCACACGGGTGTAGTGCCCTTTTCTTGATTCTTACCAGTGAGGTTGGACTGGGAAAAATTGCTTTTATAGGTGAGCTGCTGGTCCCACCACTACTAGGTGGATTAATCCTTTTCTCCTTCTGACGGCGATTACAAAACCAAACACGGATCACCTCCTTTTCCATATTCAGCTGATCAGCAATCATGGTGATTTCTTCCGAGGTAGGCTTTTGATTCTTAAATGAATAATTTTAGGAAAGAAGGAAATGCCTTTTTAAACTGCATGGCATGAGAGTATTTAATGAACAAAAAAGAGAGCAAAGGACTAAGACTGTTTATACAATCAATACTTTTCTCCTTTTTAAATAAAGTATACACTTTCTTATATAGATGTGAAACTAAAAATAAGAAACTAGAAACTAACAGAAAAGACACCTCCAATATTCATATAATTAAATCTATTATATTCCAAAGTTTTATTCCTATGTTCTAAAAGAAGACATATGAGGATTATAATGCAGCCATATTGAGAAAACAATAAAAATAAGAAAAGGTTACAAAATAGTGTTGAAATAACAGCTCTGATCATGTCATCAGCCTGCCAAAAACATAATTCAAAGGCTCTTTACTGAATAAATTTTAAGTCTGAACTTTTTTGGCATTAATGTAGAACACCGTGTGTGCTAAGTTTGGGGAAGACATGGGGCAGCTAGGTGGTGCAGTGGATAGAGCACTGGCCCTGGAGTCAGGAGGACCTGAGTTCAAATCTGGCCCCAGACACATAATATTTCCTAGCTGTGTGACTCTGGGTAAGTCACTTAACCCCAATGGCCTCACTAAAAAAAAAAAAGTTTGGGGAAGACACAGTTAACAATACATAACAACAACGAATTAGAAATTCATTAGGGAGTTGCTACATGAAGGTCATAATGGACTTTTGTCTGTTGCTTCAGTGAGAGCTTCATGGAAGAAGTGGCATTTGAGTTGGGCTTCAAAGGAAGTATAGTAATTCATTAGGCCTGGGGAAAGGACTGTTGTTCCTCATCTTTGAAGAAGACCAACGACAATGATATCTTGACTTGTGGGTGAAGTGGATTTAAGTGAGGCAGAGTTGCACAAAGTTGTCAGTCTCACTCTCTCTTCCAGAGTCACTGAAATCCAGTGGCAGGACAAAAGTCAAGATGACTGCTGATGGTCTGGGATGCAGTGGGTGACCTTGGTGTATTCTATGCCTGACCCAAGCACACCTGCTTCTACTGCCTTCATGGCCACAGGACCAAATTGTTCTTATCTGCCCATTCTGCTAGTCTTCACATGCTTGGTGTAGACAGCCTCCTAACTCACCGATGGAATCTATTCATGGCATAGATATTTACTGCATGAGTAAAGACACAGAGGCAGAAGGGTACAGATAGTGCATTCTAGAGACAGAATAGACCAGTTTGGCTACAGCATTAAATATGCGGATAAGGCTGCAAGGGTAGGATGGTGTATGACAAATTGTGGAGGGCCTTGAATGTTAGCCAAAAACAGATGGAATTTTATTCAGGAAGCAACAGATTACTGAGCAGAAGAGTGGTAAGACCAGATCTATTTGAAATGAAAATTATTCTGAAAGGATGGATTAGGAAGGGGAGAGACAGGAAATGGGAAGATCTATAAAAAACTTTACAATAGTTTAGGAAGGAAGTATCAGGGGACTTGTCCTAGGGCAGCAGCAATGAAATGGAAAAGAGGAGAAATGAGTGAGAGATGGTTTGTAGGTGAAATTGAAAGGACTTGGAATTGACTGCATATGAGTGATGATGGAGAGGTTAGAGCAAAAAGTAATTCTAAGGCTGTGAGCAAGGCAGAATGGGTGGACAGTGGTAAATCTGGCAGAAATATTGAAATCTGAAGAAGGCTTAGTATGGATTAGGATTTGATGAATTTGAGTTGCTGGTGGGAGTGTACACTGCAGGAGAATGGTCAGGGCTAGAGGTACAGATTTATGTAGCTTGTGCATAGAGGCAATATATGAAATCAAAGGAATGAATAAGATTGCTAAGGGAAAGATAGTGAAGAAAGAGAAGAGGACTGAGGAGAAACAGCCACATTAATACATCAGGAAGAGAAAGAAGAGCCAAAAAAGGAGACGGAGAAGGAACAGTTTGGAGAGTGCAGCGTCTCTGAAGTCAAGGAAAGAGAAAATGTCCAGTAGAGGTAGTCATCGACCATATCACAAAGAGGTAAAAGAGGATAAGGACTGGAGAAGAAGGCCCTTGGATTCAATGACTGGGAGGACAATGACGATCTGAGAAAGTAGTTCTGGTAGAATGATGGAGGCTGAGACCTGATAATAAAGGAGTGAGAAGCCTGGGAACGGCATCTGGTGTAGACAACTTCTTCAGTCAGTGTAAGCAGTGAGGGTGAGGAAACAAGATAGAGTGGGAGGCAGATGGGGTAGACAGGACAAGAATGGTTTTTTTAAATCTTTTTTTAAAATTTGTTTTTTATTTTTTATTTTTATGCAGTTGGGGTTAAGTGACTTGCCCAGGGTCACACAGCTAGTAAGTGTCAAGTGTTTGGTCCAAGGCCGCATTTGAACTCAGGTCCTTCTGCCTTCAGGGCCGGTGCTCTATCCACTACACCACGTAGCTGCCCCCCCCCCTTTTAAGGGAGACCTGAACATGTTGGTAGAAAAATGGGAAGTGATCCACGTAGAGAAAAGCTTGTAAAAGTATGAGTTAAAAGGGTTGATTAGTCAAGCAAGGTCTCAGAGGAAATAGGAGGGAACAGGATCAAGAGTATGAATGGAGGAGTGGGCCTTAGTGAAGAGCAGGAAAACTCTTCACAGGCAAAGAGAAGAAATCCCGTGGGAGGAATGAGGAGAGGCAAAGGGAGATGGCAGAGGGCAGAGGGTGCCCCCGTCACAGCTCGTTCCAGGCAAACTGGACACGTCACTGCTCCCCAAGCACGCCGAAGGTCACCGTGCCCCCGTCCTAGCCCCCACATCCCCATCAGCCAGCTTTCCCCGAGGCCCTCAGCCAGCTAACGAGCTGTTCCCTCTCCTTCCTCTGGCTCCCACAGCACTCTGCATCGGTGATTATGGAACTTCAACACACGGTGATTTCAAAAATGACAGCTCTCTGCCAGCTGGTCTCTTCTCCCTGAGCCTGGGGAAGAGGCCTGATTTCTCTTTTTCTGTCTACGTCATCAAACAGAGTGCTCCATACAAAGCAGAGGCTCAAAATTCACTCTTGAAGAAACCGATGATGTCTGTGACTCACATTCAGATACATCTGCCTGCCTGCAAAGCAAAAAACCAACCTCCAGGAAACTCTTCTCTAAGGCCACACGGATGTTGGTCTCTATGCTGGTGCGTTTCTTCCTCCTGCGGTTCAAACCCTCAATCCCCTGCCCTGGAGAATTCAGGGCGCTTGGGCTAGAGTGTGTAGAATCAGACGAGAGGTTCTCTGTAAGAAAACAAATGGTGGCAATTGGCTCAGCTCAATGTCTCAAGCTCTGGGTACTTAGTAGGAAGGAAATGTAAAAAGCACATGGAAAAATGGTCAAGTATCCTAAGCTGAGTTCAAACAGGACAAATCTTGTAGACTGGAAATCGTTCCCTTGTTCTCACAGAATTCTGTGAATGGAGAAGACAAATCAGCCTTTCACACTCACTCCACAGAAGCCAGCAGGAGAACCAAAGCACTCAAAAAATTAATTCTCCATCATCTTTGACATTTAAAGACTTTTCCAGGTGGGCTATCTTCCTGCTCCGTTGTCTCTGAAGGAACTGTGGATGCTCAGCATGCCATCTGTCTGTCCCTCATGGATGGTCACTGCTGAATGCATTAGGGAAGCAGCACTCTGGAGAACACTGGACCTGGGGTCAGGAAAGACCCACACTCCCATTTCTATCCTCCAGTTTGCTTGCTCTGTGATCATGATCAAAGCCCTTGGCCCCTCTGAGTCAAAGGTTCTTCACGTGAAAGGTGGGGATAACCACAGAACCTGCCCACATTGGAGAATCAAATGAAATAATGCATATAAAATACTTTGCAAACCACAAAGGGACCTTATATCGGGGATCACTCTCTGATTCATGTAATACTATCCTATTCTTAATTCATTACTACCGCTGCTTTTATTTACTTTCCTTTTGGTCTGTGGGTCAAGCTTTGGCATCTTAGGTGGACAAGAACAATAGTCCACACCCATCAGCCTTTCCTCAACGTGACCTCCTCCCATCCTGTCACTACTTCTTCTCATTCTAAGGCCCAGAAGAGTAAAAGAATACATGGCATTACTGTTGCTACTAATGTTCCTCTCCCCCAGCTCAGGTAATCAAGAAGGGCTCACTTATAGCAAAATCAGGCAAAGTAAAAATTCTGTTAAAAAAAATCAATAAAAAATGGACACAAATATAATTAAATCAAATGATGAAGAAAAGGAAGAACCATCTAAATAGACCAATAGAGTGGCATAGGGACTTATCAACCAATTCAGATAGTCCTGAAAGAATATATCCAGGAAGACTAGAAGGATAAGCCGAGGTTTGTAACAAATGCTAAGATCAACAAAAAGAGCTTTTTGGCGGAATTATGGTGAGGCTAGAAGGAAGACCAAAGAGCCTCACTTCAGATGGATGGGATGTTTCTTCTTTAGACTGGGAATTAACGAATAAAAAACACCACAGAACTGAAACAGTAGATAAGTGAGGCGACAGTAACACAGGACTCAACTTCCCTCTGTGAATTCAAGTCACTGGGCCAAGACAAACTACATCTCCTAATTTGTTGATGTGATTGATAAACTGCCATCAGAGATTTTTTTAAAAAATCATGGTGACTTGGGAAAAATGTCACATACCTAGAGAAGGGCAATGTCCTGATTTTCAAAAAGGAAAGAAGACCAATCTGTTAGAGGCTAATGGTGCAGTGGATAAAGTGCTCAGCCTGGAGTCAGGAAAACTTGAGTTTAAACCTGGCCTCAGATACTTACCAGCTGTGTGACCCTGGGCAGGTCACTTAAGCTCTGCCTCAGTTTTCTCAATTATACAAATGGGGATAGTACAGCACCTATCTTACAGGGTTGTTGTGAGGATCAAACGAGGCAATCTTTGCACAAAGCGCTCAGCACAGTGCTTGGCACATAGCAGTCACTATATAAATGCTTATTACCTTTCCTTCTGCCCTTCAGACTACAGGCTGATGAACCTGGGATGCATTTGTGACAAAATTCTAGAACCTATTTTTAAGATTACTCAGAAGGGAAAGCAGTACTCACCATTAGCTAGCATGGGCTCATCCAGGAAAACTTAAAGACTAATTTCACTTCTTATAGCCTGTTCTCAGTGCTCTTCCCTTTTGAGCCCTGGTTGGCCACTCACTCCCTGCTACTCCTACCCCAGGTGTTTGTGACACTGTGCTGTACTGGTTCTGTTCCTGCCTGTCTCAGAGGCGTCTCAGCCTCCTCTGCAGGATTATCACCTGGGTGTCCTGGTCACTATGCACGACATGGGGCTCTGTCCTAGGCCCTCTCTTTTTCCTCATTACAGTTTTGTTTAGTGATCTATCAGCTGAGACGATTAGGGATCATCTCTATGCAAATGACTCCCCCAAATCTGCATATCTAGACCTCACTTCTTCTTAACTCAAGGATCAGCTCTATAAATGCCTGCCAGCCATCACTACTCGGACATCTCCCAGGTACCTCAAACTCGCTAAGTCCAAAATACAACTCACTCTGTTCTTCCTCCAACCTAGTGCTACCTCCTAACCTCCCTACCTCTGCTGAAGGAGGACACTGTCATTCTTCCAATCACCCCACTTCCCAACCTCAGTAATTTTATCACTTCCTTCTTCTGCATATCCAGTACATTATTAAGTCCTGTAGGTTCTTCCCTCTTTATTTCGTCTACATCCCTCCACTTGCAAGGCAAAGATACTAATTCAGCCGTGAAACAGCCTCCCTATGCTGCGTCTCCCCACGTCAACCCACCTCCACCAGCTGCCAAATGGAAGTTCTAAAGCTCAGCTGGAAACATGCTTCTCCTTGTTAAAAAGCTTTACTGGATCTTGTTACCTCTCAGATAAACTATAAACTGCTGGGTTTGACTTTTACAGACATCTACCTTGAAAACAGAGAAAACCCAATTTTCCTGACTACTTCCTCATGACTGCCCCTCGCTGTGCACTGCACAGGCCACTCTGTCTTTGCTCCTGGGTCCTTGCCAGGCCTCCCATCATGTGGGGATGCTTGGCTCCCTTGCTTCTCTGCCTCTTGGGAAGCCCAGCTTCCTCTAAGGCTCAGACAAGCCTCCTCTCATGGTATCTGCATCCTCCATGTCTGGCACACAGGAGTTTGATAAATGTTTGTTTACTGACTCACTCGATTTTTTGGACAGGGTTACTAGACTTCTAGATCACGAGAATGCCACAGACACAGACTACTTGGATATCAACAACGCATCTGGCAAAGCCTTTCATGACATCCTTGTAGACAAGATGGAGAGACGTGGGCTGGATGAGCACAGATTGGTTCCAGTTGTTTAACCATCTGAACATCCACCTAAAAGTAGTTGTTGATGGATGGGTGCCAACTTGGAGGGAGGCCTTTCATGGAGTATCTCAGGGCTCTAGTCTTGGTTCCGTTTTGTTCAACAATTTTTTCAACAATTTGCTGAAGGCAGAGCTGGAATGATTATTCAGTATGAAGATGAAATGAAGATGGTATAGCTAACATGCTGGATGAAAGAACCAGGATCACAAACTAATCATAACTCACATTCATATAGTGTTTTAAAGTTTACAAAGATTCTGACAAGATAAATGATGGACATCTTATAAACAAAATTTAAAAGGAATAAATGTGAAATCTAGGTCTTCAATTAAAATCCAACCAACACAAACAATACTGGAGTAGCATGGTTAAAACAACAATTTATGCGAAAAGACCAAGGTGGTGATGGTAACTAAGTTTACAATAAATTTTTTAAAAAAAGATTGAGCAGTATTAGTGTACTCTTCTATTCAATGAGTCAACATTGATGTGGTTGAGGCTGCATGAACATGAGCACAGTGCTGACTGTTATACTGGACTCTGGGTCACATCACATCTGGAGTTAAGTGTTCACTTCTGGGCATCACATTTTTGGAAGGACATTGACACACTTGCGGGCATCTAGGAGAAGATGCTAAAGGAATATGAAACTGTAAGATAGGAATTTGGGGTGCCTAGACTGAAGAATATTTAAGTGTGCAAAGATGGTATTAGATGTTAGTCAAATTGTTAATAACTATTTGAATGACTATAATCTAGCCAAAAGATTAGAACTGTTTTTCTTGGCCTGAAAGGATAAATCTAGGACCGACAGGCAGATGTTGGGCAGAATCTATATTTTGACCTGATGTAAAGAAAATCTTCCCAACAACTACAAGTGGCTAAAAGTACAATGGACTGTGCTACCTTGGGAGGTAGTGAGTTCACCCACATGCATTGCCAGAAGTCTCCACCGAACATTTATATACCAAATTATGAAGTACGTGAGGACATTTTTACTGAGTAAAGGTAACACCATGGTGTTGTGGACAGACTGTTAGACTCAAACCCTGACTTTGATACTGACTATTTGGGTGACCAGGGGTAAGTTCCCTAAGCCATAGCTAGGTTAGGAACAGGGTGCAATCAGTGCCAATGGTAGGAATTCCCACACCATGAAATCACAGATCATGGGACTCCAGCTTGAAATACAGTGAGCAATGTTTATAGTCATAAAAATCCATAAGAAATCCATTAATCCATTATTTGTTCAAAACTTTAAAAACAGATGCTTCCTTCATGGTCCCCTTCCACTCAAAACAGATATAGCGTATGCCCCCAATCCAGGCTCAGAAGGCAATATGTATCCCAAGTCCAACAGAGCAATGCTCTGATACAAAATCCAAAGCTGCTGCAGTACAGTACAAGAGCTCCTCGATTGAGGCATTCAGAATTTATGTCACTTCTCCCTCAATTACTGTTCTTGAATGCTCTGTAATACCAGCAATGCAATGAACAATGTACAGAATTCCAATTCAGCAGCACCCACTGGCAATTCCCCTTTGTGATGCAGTCACCCACCTGCGTCATTGAGCCACTTCTCTAGAAGTGGCTTTAACTTGCACATGTTCTTAAAGCTGAGGTTCAAGGCTTCAAAGCGAGAGATGGTAGTTTGGCTGAAGTCATTTCCATAGAGTTTGCCCATAGCGAGCCCAACATCACCCTGCACAACGAGATAGAGCAAAATGGAAGAGAGGGGGGAGCAGGGGTGGAGAAACAGAGAGAGAGGGGATGGGGAGGGAGAGAGAGAGAGAAGAGAGAGAGAGAGAGAGAGGGGAAGAGAAAGAGATAGGAGAAGAGAGAGAAAGGGATGGGGGGAGAAAGGAGAGAGGGAGTGAAGGGAGGGAAAAAGAAAAAGATTCAGCTTACTAACATTATATCCTTAACACTGAGGGTTCTCTCCTATATTTGCTCTAGATGAAAAAGCATTCTACTAGACTGGTTACAAATTAAGCCAATTAGAAATTCAAACTTGTTACTCAATATAATGGAGGTTCTTATCATGGTGACCAGTAGAAATGTGTTCTTTTCAATAAAGTCCTAATATGCAGCTCACCTGCACATAAAAACAAAACAAAACTCACCACAACATCCATTGTACTAGAATTTATATTTTAATATCTGTATTCCTTGATTCTTTCCTTCCTTCTCGACTGGGTCTCCCTCTCTTGCCAAGGTTGAAAGTGTGGTGGCTACTCATGGGACCTATCCCATTGCTTATTAGCCCAGAAGCTTTGACCTATTCCATTTCCAACCTGGGCTGGTTTTTTTCATCTTTAGGCAGCCTGCTGGCTTTCTGGTTCCGGGGGCTCACCACCATGGTGAAAGACTTAGCACAGAAATCCAATCAATTTTAAGCTTACTACAATTCAGAACTCCTGAGCTCAATAAATCTATGCAGCCCAGTCTCCTTCAGTAGCAAGAATTACAGGTATGAACCACCACACCTGCTCCTTTTTTGAATTTATTTGCCACTATCAGTATCGTATTTGTGATTTTAAACATTTTTTTACTGGCTATCTAAAAAGCATTTCAGTCATTCTAACTCACTATTGGCTTTCACTGATGGAACTAGGGAATTTAATTTACAGTACTGTGTAACTTATTTTGTTCTCAGACTGATTAAAAATGTAAGCTTCAAGATCATTTTAGGCATTTTTATCCTCATCAAATTTCCAATATAAATACCTCCCTTTAGCTTAAGAGAATAATGGAACAAAAAGGGACCTTAGAGATCATCTATTCCAAACCCTTCATCTTACAGATGATGAAATTAAGGACAACGAGGTCACAAAGCTGGCTAGTGACAGAGGCTGGACCTTATCTTGTCTAAATCTAGTGCTCTCTTCACTCTATGATGCTGCCCCTATAGGTAGAGTATTATTCTCTTCTTTCCTGTATATTATTGCTGGCAACAGTGAATGCATCTATTTTTTTTTTTATCACAAAGACTGGATTTCAAAGTTGATCCCTAAAAGAATATAACTGAAGAGATCATTTTTTTGACCATTAAAAGAATATATTCAAGAGCTCACAGTAGAGAGTTTTGACCCATTTAGTTATAAGTTTCACAGAACTAGTAAACTTGCTAACCTTTTGACAACAGTATCCTGAATGTATTTATTATAAAAGATCTATCCATAAGCTTACAGATAGATCTTAAGGTTTGAATTTTATGTACTGTGGCTCTATATCCCTTGTGAATACGGAAAAAAAGTTTAAAAAAAATTTAAACACTGAACACAACTAAGACTCAGAATATTTAAGTGACTCATCACAAAGCTGGCACTGCAGAAAGCAGCCATATTTCTGATACAAAGTATAACAAAACGAACTGTCTATTAGTATTATCAATTCCCAAATAATAGGGACAAAAGATTTAATTTTTTGATTATTTTCCAGGTCCTTTGATTTTGTTTGTTCCTGCCTACTTGCCATACTTTAGATATTACACTATTTATTAGCATCTATAGCAGGGGAGATAGGGAGGGGAGTACTTGGAGGGAAGAAGAAAAAACTGAAATGATTCCTTTTTTCTACTTGCTGCTAATTCTAATAAAAGGTTAGGGAGGGCCAATATTGAAGCTACAAGATTAAAAAAAAAAAGGCTTGTGTAATAGCCAGATTTCAAATATCTATACATTATCTGGTCCCAAATAAACATTACATTTGGCAACTGACTATTTATTGATCGCTTTTTGATTAAAAAAAAATTACTAACAGGTAAGTATCATCCATTCATGTCTCTGTTTAATATATCTGTTCTGCTGTATCATGTACATGTGTATCTATGACAACTTTAGATGGCAAAGACCAGGTTTTGTAAATCTTTCAGCACACTGCCTGGCACACCAATTAGATGCTTAATAAATGGTTCTGATAATATTTTAGTAGCAACACATCTCTAAGTGCTTTGCAAACACAACTTCAAAAATCTTCACAATATTCCTTTAAGGTGGGTTTGAAAATAACAACAATTTTGACAAAAGAGATAAGTAAAACACCTATCAAAATGCATGCAAGTCAGTGAAGTAATTGTAAATAAAGCTATATGATCACTTAACTAAAACTCTGATGATAAGGGGCACATCTGGTTAAGCAGGGTTTTTACAGCTCAATTTAAAAAAAAGATTTTACATCTACTTGTGAAATAACATGTTAGAAAACCCAAATGAAAACAATCAGGTCACATTTTTATCAGTTTAGTTTACTGTTATTTTAATGTTTCTATAACTCACAATTGGCTTACATCGTTTCTTATAAATTGTTTCACACAGGTGGTTCATGCAACCTGAACTACATTAGATATCCGGTAATTTTGGGGGAAAAAAAACCATGAAAACAGAGAAAGACAAAAACTTAGTTTAGGAAATATTTAATGTTTCATGAGATTTAATGTTTCGTGTTTCATGAGTTATAATAGGGAATGCATTCTAGTTATATAATGTCAATAATATAGTCATATTAAATCTTAATAAGTTATGTAATTAGATAACTACCACTGAAACTACCTAATTACATGTGTATTTAGTCAGAAAATGAAAAATTCTTTGATCAAATGGATAATATGCATACTTAACTTTCCTTTAGTGAATTGTAAGTAAAATAAATGAAAGTAAACACATAAACCACTTTTGATTATCTAAAACTGAAGTGTGTAACCTAAAATCTGAGATTAATTTTCCTATCGTTTACCAACTATGCTTTCTTCTTCTGATGCAGGTAAGGCCTGAATATTAATACTTAATCTAGACATATTGGCCTTTGCAGCTGTGTATATGTGAGTACTTAAAAATGCTACTAAATAAAGTGAGGGTGCTGATATGCCAGACTAATTTAGCAGAAGAAGACAAAAGTTGGTTTCTTAAAATAGGAAAAAACACACAAAGCAAACCACCACTGTAGGGAAACTCCTTTACATGAAAAGAAAAAGAAAAGCCAACCACTGCCACCAAGATTCTAGGTCAAACTCAACAGAAAAGCAAACTACTCTGGGTGAAAGTTAAACGCTGTTACCTTGTGTAACACTTAGGAAATGTGTATTCTAGTGCAATAAATAGTTGCTAACTCTTCAAAAATGCAAAATATTCTCCCAAATCACTAAAATGTCCTAAAAATAAACCAAGTTGTCCAGAGAGGTATATTAAGATCTTTCTGAACTGTGAAATTATTTTTCAGTCAGATCACTTATTTTCTAAAATCCCAACTTCATAATTTCACTTAATTTCTGTTGCCAATGCAGTTAATTTGTTTAAAAAAAAAGGCTACTTGCCCACCTCCACCTGACTCAATCAAAGTAACTTAAAAATATATACATATATATTCTACTCTTGAGGACCCTATCTTCGATATCCCATGGGATGCTGTCAATCTTAGATGTTTTTTTCCTAGGGAGCTGCTGGTACAGTACTACACTTTTACAACAGTTTGGATGCTCCAATTTCAGACAACTGAATCCTTTGATGACAAAATATCAAGTCTTTCGTGATTATCTGATGCAGGACAAATTCATTTCCTTTTTATTCTTTTTTTTTTTAAACAAGAGGATCTTGCATTATTTCACATGAATGTCCACTTCATTTCTTTTCCTACTTCAAACCAAGGTATATAAGAAGTTAGTTTTGGCACTGGACGTAGACTCAGCCCCCTGTTTCAATTAATAGAATAGATTTCCTTTTAAGACTCATATAATATTTGAAGAAAAAAAACTTGTTAAATTTTGATCGCTAATATCAATCACTTATAACCCAATTTAATCTTAGACAGTTTTATTTGATGGTTTGATTGGAATTTGGGCATTTCTATTCTTTCACAAAGCACCCCCACAGCCCTGAGGGAAGAAGTTTCTTACCCAACTTTCAAAGCTTTCCCCTTTCTGGTCTTCTAAAAATGATGCCTGAAATCATCAATATCCTAATCTTTTGCACGCAATTCAATGTTCTTAAAGGAGGTGAACGTCAAATAGAAAAACTCTTGGAACACTTCTACAGCTCTGTCATCATTCACTACAATATTTTAAAAACAATGTATTGAGGTAATTATATTTATTTTCAGCAGCTATAGTTTTGATGGCAGTCTTAAGTATTTTGGTTTGTTAACTTCAGCTAGAAAATACAGACTAAATTGAGAAAGATGGTGTCACCTAAAATCAACGAGGTACCAGAGTAGAAAACAGAGTTCTTTAAAAAAAAAAAATTTCCTTGAAGTTATCTAGAGATCTAAAAGGAAAGAATTTAAGGGAGAAGACACTAAGAACAGATGTTTTACTACTATACCTGAGTGAATCCAAGCTTGATCCGTCTTTGTTTGAAAGTCTTGGCAAACTGCTCAAGCTCCTCAAGGTCACTGGGCTCCTCCAAGCTGGGCGTATCAATTCGCTTTGGTGTTGACTGGCTCTGTGGGAGTGTCTGAATTGGGGTTGCTGCTATTGTGCGTGTAGGGGTTGCTGGCTGTTAGATAAGGCATAGGAGAAAAAACACAGAGAAACAGACAGAGACCTTCAAGTTTACAATCACACAATGATGAAAGAAACTAACTTTAGAAACGTCAATATTCTTGGAGATGCGGATCCAGATCCTAGTGTCAATAACTTGTCAGGTCATTCCTCCTCCTTTCTCAAGTATTTAAGTATCTGGATTACAGTCTTCCTTTCCTCCCTAAATCTTAACTTAAGCCAAATGAGATTAATGTACATTGATGTTTGTCCTTCATTTTCAAATAGAACCAATGACACTACGGGTTGATGTCTTGACTCATGCGTGAATTCGATTTAAGTGAGGCAGAGTTGCACAAAGTTGTCAGCCTCACTCTTCCAGTCACCTAAGTACAGTGGCAAGACAAAAGTCAGGATGACTGGTGATGGCTGGGATGTAGTGGGTGCCCTTGTTGTCTTGACCAAGCTCCAAGTGCTCCATAGCACCTGCTTGTGCTGGCCATCAACAATGCTCTCATCCACCCATTCCACCAGAGGGGAAGTCTTCACATGCTTGGGGTAGACACCTCCTCTAACCCATCTAATGGTTTGAGGTGTGTCAATTACCCTCAAATTGGTTTAGCGTGTCTAGCAAAAGTGGATGAGCAGCCCTGAAAAGGGCTCGACAAGCTCTCAAACCAGAGATGCTGGTCCTCCTTGAACACCCCATACAGCCCTAATGTATGTTAAGTGCTCTGCAGATATAAACAGAATATAACAAATATAACACAAATATAATATAAGCTTCAATATATATGTTAATATTCCCTCAAGAACTCTAGCCTCCCAGTTTCTAAGTCCACTCAGCTCTCAAGGCCTGCTCCTTTGCTCTACTTCAGACACACTGGGACAACTGCACCCCTGATCTTGCTATTATCCATTTCCATAATCAAGAATACTGAAATCCCTTATCTGATCATAACCACAACCATCACCCCAACTCTCTATGGCTTCTTCTTCCCTAGATCTATTTTTTGTCCTTACTATGACCCTTAGTCTCTTAACCTCTCTGTACTCTCCATGGCCACTTCTTTTGTTTTACTGTCACTTTCTTCCTTCTCCAATCATTAGCCCATTCAACATCATACTGCCTTCTACCCTCAAGTCCTCTGCCCCATTGTTTCCTCACTGTTCATGCCTTGCCAAGCTCCAATCCCTGGATGACTTCTCCCACCTGCCTCCTCTATTCCTACTCATAAGTGGCTAAGTAGTGCTGGAAAGTCACAGAACCACACTGACCAGGCTAAATAGCCTCACCTGGGCCCCTGCTGCAGCAAGGCAGCCCTTTTGACTCGTGCCTGATTCTCTACCACTTTCCCCAACAGATAGTCCAAACCTTCCTTGCCCTCAAGGTTTCCCCAGTAAAGGACCTCATCCTTACACTGTACTGAGAAAAAGAGGACACTTGTCATGTGTTTCCTCTGTTTCTCTTCTCTATGTGATAAAACCCTTTATACAATCTTCTATATTCTCTCCTCCTTAGCTCTAGTCTCTGAGGAAGAGGTGGCTCTTCTCTTTATCAAGGCCAACCCCTTGATACCATCCCCAGCTGCCTTCTTCAGCAAACTGCTCCCACAATTATTTCCCACTCCCTCCCTCTCTAACTTCTGTGGCACAGTGGGCAGAGTGCTGGGCCTAGAGTCAGGAAGATATGAGTTTAAATCCACCCAGGGCACTTACTAGCTGAGTGATACTGGGCAAAACACTTAACCTGTTTGCCTCAGTTTCCTCAATTGTAAAATAGGAATAAAAGAGCACTTCCCTCTCCGGGTTGTTCTGAGAGTCTCTGTAAAACACTTAGCATGGTGCCCAGTACACAGCAATCTTTTACTAAATTCTCCTTCCCTTCCCTTTCTCTTTTCTTTCTCCTGGCTACAAACATATTTATGTCTTCCCTAGCCACCCAAAAGCCCTCTCTAGCCTCCACTTGCCCTCAGGATACCATCCCATATCTCTCCCCTCTTTCAGAGCAAAACTAGAGAAATCTGACTACCTTTGTTGCTTCCACTTCCTGTCCTCATCCCCTCTTCTCAGCCTTCTGCAGCCTTCCTTCTCATTGAGACTGTTCTCTTCAGTTACCAAAGACCTCTTAATTGCCAAAGTTATAGATTATTTCCTTAAATCTATCCTTTTTGGCCTCTCTGTGGCAATCTACACTGCTGACCACTCTCTCCTCCTTGGCACTTTTCTTCTCTCTGGGCTGTCATAACACTGTTCTCTCTTGGTTTCCCTCCTGCCTCTCTAACCACTCCTTCTGGGTCTCCTTTGCTAGATCATCACCTGTATCTCATCTCCTAAATATGGATTATCCCAAGACTGTATCTTGAGTCCTATTCCTTTTTTTCCTCTCAACTTTATCTTGGTGACCATTCCTATCTCCCACAGGCTTAATTACTTTTTTTTTTTACTTTTTTTTGGTTTGTTTTTGTGAGGCAATCAAGGTTAAGTGATTTGCCCAGAGTCACACAGCTAGCCAGTGTTAAGTTTCTAAGGATGGATTTGAACTCAGGTCCTCCTGACTCCAGGGCCAATGCTCTATCCACTACGCCGGCTAGCTGCCCCTCAATTACTTCCTCATGTAGATGATTCCAGACCTGAATACAGCTAGTTCTGTGACAACTTGTTCTGAGAATCTGAATTTGTTCTAACATGACAATATATCAGCAAACAATCTTTACTTAAATTTTGAGTCTATATACGTGAGAAACAGATAATCACACCACTTCACAATAGCTCAACTCTTCTGACTCCCACAAATTTCAGGTCTTTTCCAAGGTGAATTCCTGTATTTACTGTCTATCTTGTGATACAGTAGGAGCTGGGGTTGGAAGAGGGCTGTTCAAGCCCCTATGCATCCCCATCTTCCACCATGGCCATGTCTGGAACTGTGTGATTGCTCTCTTGCCAGTAAGTAGCTTTTGCTGGCCCAGGCCATGGGCACCAGGTCAAAGGCTGAGCAGCAACCTAAGACTGCAGATGCCACCACTATTTATTGTACAACAGTATTTATTTATTTCTTAACCATTTAACATGTACATAAAACCATGCTATTTTTTTAAGAGTCAATAAATATTTATTAAGTGCCTACTATGTGCCAGGCACTGTGTATTTTATTTTAACACTAATTTTATTAGGTTCCTATCTTTTCATGTGTCATTGTTGAAGGTTTTGCATGTTGTTCCTCTAAATTAAGTTCTCCCATGAGCCCTGTGTTTTTTATTGTACAATTCTGAATAGCCTGTTGATTGTTAGCAATGCACACGTCAAATTACAGCAGAACTGTCTCTAGCCTTAGCCTTCTATCTGAGCTTCCTCCATGCATCATCAACTGGTCAGAGTACATTTTTGACTGGATTTTCCAAAGGTACCCCAACTCAAAATGTCTAAAACAGAACCCTTAATCTTTCCTCCTTTGCAGAACTCCCTTATTTTTCTTCTCCTTTTGGTCCTCCAGATTTGCCATCTCAGAGTAATCCTCCCCTTCTCCTTCTCCCTGGCATCTATCTCCTTCCTACTCACACAGCTGTGGCTGCGGTTCAGGCCTTCATCCTCTTTTCCTGAGCCACTGTATCAGTTTCCTAATTTGGGCTCCCTTTCTCAAGTCTTCTTCTCTATACCACGCTCCACAAACATGTTTTCTTGCCACGTCACTGCCCTACCCAAGCTCCTGTCTGGCACAGACAGACTGGTTTCAACATGTCTTTCCAGCCTTTTCATACATGCCTTCCCTTCACACATTCTACCTTTTAGTCAAATGGGTCTTGTTTTCTCTCTGCATAGAACAGGCCATCTCCTGATTCTGTACCTTTACACAGGCTGCCCTCCAAGCCTGGAACACACTCCCTTCTCAAATCCGCCCCCTTCATTTCTTCAAAGATTAACTCATTGCTACCTCCACCATGCAGCCTTTCCTGACTCCACTCTGCTGCTAGTGCATCCTCTCTCCCTACTAATTAGCCTGTATTCGTTGTGTACATATGTCTACATACAGATATTATCTTCCCCAGCAGAGTATAAACTACTTGAGAGAAGTCTGTTTCCTTTTTTTCTTTTGTCACCAGTACTTGACACATAGTTGTTGTCATTTGTTTCTCTTCTTTTTGTTGCTGTTGTTTTGTTTTTGTTCATCGTCAGGAAGATGATGTCATGAAATGCAAGTGAATTGGATTTAAGTGAGGGAGGGCTGTGCAAAGTCACTAGCCTCACTTTTTCCTCTGGAGCCATCGGGGTCCACTGGCAAGATACAGATCAGGACGTTGGGAGATGGCCCCAGATGCAGTGGTGCTTAATAAATGGTTGTTGATTGATTGGTTGATTAAAGGACTGAGACACAGCATACTTAGTTTCAAGTGTTACATCTTAAATGCATTAGACATATTTAGTGATCATGAAACACTTCTATTCAACATACTTTTAATCTACTATAAATAATTTTAGCCTCATTCTTTTTTTTTCCTTACCAATAAATCAGGCACATTTATTTCTCAAATAATCTTAAAACAGTTATAGCGCAAATGACCAATCAGAGGTAGAACATGCATTTTTTTAAAACACAAGTCCTATTCAGTTACTGTGGGCCCCATACCTTCCCTTACTTCTTTTCACTTGTGAATAATTGCAAATATATGCTGTAGTTAAGGATGGAATCTATTGCTGTGAATTGTTCTCCTTTTTAAATTAACTACATGAAGGATCAAACTTCTGGCCTGGGTCTCATTAGCAACATCCTGTATTAAAATGAATTAACTTGCCCAGCTCTCTAAAGAACAGGATAACACAGATCATAATTGCAGTAACAATGAGCTTATCTTGCGCCAATGAAGAAAACACAGTTTAGACAACATTTGGAGAAACAGTTGATCTCCTATCAGTACTCTTCTGCACTTTCTCTGCAACATGGAAACACGGAGTGAAAAGTAGAAGTGATCCTCAGTTACAGGTCTTCATATGATCTTATCCAAACTCAGGCCAGACGCCAACCCTAAGCAACAAAGGGCCACTCCTCCTTTCAATAATGTGGTAGCAACCAGGTCACTTTAGGCCCAGAAGTTTTAGACTGAAGCTGGACAAGACCCAGAAAAGGTGCAGTGGCATTTAATAAGCAGGATTCACAGCCCTCAAATTTCTAAGCCATCTTGAGACTCTGAACAGTCTAGCCCTGGTATCAATGGCTACAGGCCACAAGGAGGCCAATGGAACTCTCTTATAGGAGGGTGACAGTTTCTATATCCAGGTAAGAGCTGAAGGGCCTGTTGACATAACTGAATTCATCAACTTTGTTTTACATAGGATAAAGGGAGAAACAGGCTTAGAGGTTAAAGAACTTCTTCATGGTCATATGACTGGTTAAACACGAAGTCAGTTAACTAGGAAGTAGGGCTCTTGACTCCCAGGCCAGTGCTTCTTCTATAATAACAAGTGGGTAGAAGGTGACTAAAGATGAGGTGGAGGGGAAGGGGTGACAGATTGCAGACTTTCAACAAAGGACCAAAGCCAGTCATGGGCATCAAGTGTAATATAAGTTTTCTGATTTAATTTATAATCTCCATTGCCAATGATATCTATGCTTTCTAGTTTACATTTTCTCAGTGTCTTAGTGTTTATGAGTTGCTTTTCTCAAAGTAACCAATGTTCACAACGGTGGGGAATTGAGGATTAATGCCTATTGAAGAAAAGCACAAATTCTCCAAAAATTTTCTTACGAGGTACCACAGTGCACAAAGCACTGGGTCCACAGTCTGGAAGACCTGAGTTCAAATCTGACCCTGGACACTTACCAGCTGTTCAAGCCTGGGCAAGTCACTTCACCTCTAACTGCCTCAGTTTCTTTAATTATAAAATGGGGATAAATTATAACACCAGCCTCCCAGGGTTGTTATGAGGATCAAATATAACATCTGTAAAGTACTTAGCATAGCCACTGGAACATAGTAGGCTGTATACAAATGCTTATTTTCTTTCTCTCCTGTTCTATTTTTCCTTCCCTTGTAGTTAAGTTATTATCAAGATATTTATTACTCCTCAGTACAGAGGAAATGGCTAGGTCTAATTCAACAATATTTTCCTCCATGGTCCATCTACAAAAAAGCCAGTTAAGATCCAGATCCATGTGTGGTGCAAACATTTTTTTTTAAAGAGCCTTCTTTAAAGGTTAAGAGTCACTACCAACGAGAAAGCCTCATTAATGGCAGAGCTGACAAAATTCATGATCGGAACTCCGCAGATTCCTACTTGCTGTGTGACCAATGGAGTTATAACATAATCTTTCAGCCCCCTTCTCTGCATCTGCATTCTCTCTGCACAAAACATACATCCTATCTCAGCACCTCACAGGGTAGCTGTGAGGCTCAAATAAGCTATTATGTATGAAGTGCTTCATAAACCTTCAAAGTACTATGCCAAAAAGCAAATCGCAATTCCCTTTTCTGAATATGAAAAAAAAAAAAGAAAAAGAAAACCCAAACATCTTTGAAGGTTTTCATGGCCCATAATAACTTGCCAACATTCCTTATGGGCTGATAGGTGTTACACATATTGTTCCTTGGATTCCCAGAACTTTTAGAATTAACTTTATCAGTATACTTCACTTTTCTACATCATGACACAAACCCAACAACCAACCAAGTCCAATAACCCAATAAGACAAAATAATTAGGGAAAGTAACAGCTGTGAAAGAAAACTAAAAAAAAGAAAAGAAACGAAATGAAACGAAATGAAAAAGAAAACTGACCTGTGAGGTGAGGGTGATGCTTGGCTGAGACTGCAGGAGGTTGGCTTGGCTTTGCTGAGGTAGTTGTGTTAAAAGATTCTGCGCTTGTAAGAGGCCTATAAAATGCAAAAGTTTTGTTCCTGAAGCATTAAGACTGATATTGAACATTGGCAGAAAGAACAAGAGATAGGGAAAAAACAACCTTTCGTTTCATTTCCTCAAATTATTATTTCAAATTCTTGGTCTAACAATTCACCCAACGCTCAATCAAATTAAATGTCATTTGTGCAATAAATTGTGGTAGGAGAACTGTAAGAAAACAAAAATCTTTTTAAGCTTATTTTTTAGAAAGAATTCAGTAATTCAGTGTTGTACCAACTGACAGATGATATTGTGGACAAGGCTTAAGTTAGGCCAGTCCAGAAATATAGGTTTGATGTTGGGAAAAAAAAAGGCACCATGGATTATAAAATCATAAGAATACATTTCCGTGTTCAAAGTACAGAAAATGCTATTTTAAGTCTACACAGTTACCTGTCAGGAACTCAGGAAAGTGTTCTGCAGGCAGCCAGAGCTTAGGAATAACCTTTCATTACACCAAAATAGTATTCCCATATTTACATACCATAACTTATCATTCTCAAATTTATGTGGACCCCCTTAGATCCCCATCCTTTGCCACTTCAAAAACAGCTATATTTTTTGTATGTCCTTAGTTTGCTTTGCTTAGGACTAATCCACCCCTTAATCTACTTTACTGCTAATTCCCCCTTATCTTCCCATTTCCTCGTGGAGTGAAATGTATTTTTATATTCCTCTCTGTTTATCTCTATATGTGTATTCTTCCTTCCTTTGACCAGTCCAGATGTGAGGTTTAAGTGTTATCTCACTCCCTCTTTATTTGCATAGATCAGGGTGTACCCTGATCACGTGAGATAATTTCCCTTAACCTTCCTTTCCATATACTCCCCTCTAACCCCCAACTCCTCCCACCCACTGTTTTTCTCTTTCCATTCTCCTCTTAAGATCATCAAGACATAACACAACCACTTTATCATTTATAACCCTTTATAATTAGATTCCCTCTATGACCATGATGATGAGTTTAGAAAGGACACAGGTATGATCTCCCTACAGTTTAATGTAGTAGTTTATCCTTGTTTAATCATTATAAATGTTTATTTGTTTACTTTTTAAAATTTCTCTTAACTTTTATATGAGCTCTAGTCTTTTCATCTCAAGCACTCTTCAGGTATGCTTGGAAATGCCATAATTCATTAAAGGTCAGTTGCCTCCACCCCACACCCTACCCTCTTGGGATTATACTTGGTTTTGCTGGGTAAATTATTCTTGGCTGTAAGCCCACATCCTTTGTCTTCTAGAATATAGTATTCCAAGCTCTCCACTCTTTGACATGATGGCTGCTAAATCCTGTGTGATCTTGGATACTTTGTTTCTTTCTGGTTGCTTGCAGTATTTTTTCTTTGACCAGGAAGCTCTGGATCTTGTCTATAATGGTCTTACAAGTTTGCATTTTGGTGTTTCTTTTAGAAAGTATGAAGTGGATTCTTTCTCTCTAACTTGCCCTCTGGTTCTAAAAGATGTGGGGAGTTTTTTTTTTTTAATTTATTGAAATATAATGTCTAAACTCCAAAGGACTCATGATGGAAAATGATGTCCACATCCAGAAAAAGAACTATGGAATCTGAATGCAGATCAAAGCATATTATTTGCTCTCTCTCTCTTTTTCTTCGTTTCTTCTTTTTCATGGTTTCTCCCATTGGTTCTAAGTCTTCTTGACAACATGACTAATGTAAAAATAGGTTCCATATGAATGTATATGTAGAGCCTATATCAAATTGCATGCTATCTTGGGGTGAGGGAGGGGAGACTGGGAGAAAATTTGGAACTCAAAATTTATGGAAGTGAATGTTGAAAACTAAAAATAATTAAAAGAAAAACAGAAATATAGTGTCTAGATTCTTTTTTTTTTTTGCTCATGGCGTTCAGGTACTCCAATAATTTTTAATCTTTTTCTTTCTTGACCTGTTTATCGGTTTTCCAGAGCAGCTGTTTGTACTATGAAATACCTTACTTTTTTCCTCTATTTTTTCAGTCTTTTGACTTTATTGTTCCACAAAAAACAAGGATTTATACCTCTTGTGCCAAGCTGTTATTCCTTTTCCAATTCATTCTTCCATGTCCTCATCTCTTTTCCATTTTCCCCCCTCTAACAGTCTCATTTTATTGATATCACTTTAAACTAAAAAAAAAAAGAAAAAAGAAAAAGAAAAAAAATCTCTCTTGCTTAATCTCTTCTAGTAATTCAAGTTGAATTTGTACCTAAGTTGTGCTTTTAGTCTAGATATGTAGTACAGTGGAAGATTACAAGAAGTATTATTTCATAAAATAACAAGACAATGGAAGGAAAAATTTGTTTCCAGAAAGCTTGGCATAGACCCAATGAGAGCCCAGATGATCATAAGGGCACTTATCGATAAAACTGGAAAGGAGAAAACAAACCAGAAAAAAAAAATTTTTTTTCTCCCAGTGACAATGAAAAATAAATTTGTTATGGAGACCTAGACTGATGTTTGCTCATAATCTTCTACCATACTCCTTTGTAAAATTTTACAAATGTGTTGATACTTTAAATTGGTGTTGAATTTGGCTGCTATACCCTTCTGTTTGGCAAAGAGATGAAGTGTTTGTTGGGTGAAGTAGTTTCCAAGCTCTTTTGCCTTCTTGTGTTGACAGTTCATTAAATTTCCATAGTCTGTCAGATACACCCTTTATGCATTTCTAATTTTTCTTAATCAAAGCTTATTTAAATAGGTTGAGTTGGAGCTGTCATGATTTCATATCATATCTTTTCCTCACTTTTAGTCTTTTTTTTCCTTTTCCTAATTTAGTGCTGGATTTTTATCTTTCTCCAACAAATCAAAGATTTGACAATTTATAACAGCCAGCCAATTCAGCAATAATTCCCATACTGGTAATCAATTGTTTCTGCTTCAAAATATAGTCAGTTTAATTTTCTGTTATACTTGTTATGTTGTTTGGTGCTTATAATGTCCAGTACTATATGACTTCCTGAGGAAAGAATTTATATACACACATACATACATATACACACATAATATTTAAAGAAAATTTGAAGACTTTAGATACATAAAGAATATATACATATACACAGAGAATATATACGTACATATACACATTATGTGTGTGTACGTGCATATATGTGCATCTACATCTCTCTCTGTGTCTCTGCCTCTCTCGTGGGTAGCTGAGAAAACTAAAGCAATTCCATTTTGTCCGCAGTTTCTCTATTTTGCCCCTGACCCTGTTTGTACTGCAGCCCCTAAAGCTGCCTTTGGCCTTCCTTTCTGCTGAAACAACAAGAACAGTCTTTTAGGGTAGAGTTACAAGGCCCAGCAACAGCGCCCTGTCCAATCAAGGGATACCACATCCCTTATTCCTATTCTGAAATCTCCCAGCAACAAGTCCTGTTCAATTCTCAGGTATTCCATACACAATTTACCTCCTGCCCAAACTGAAACCTATATAAACTTTGTCCTTTTGCTCCTTTAAAGGAGTCTCTGCTCTTGTAGGTGGGACTCCCTTGCTGGCAAATTCAATAAACCCTTGTTGGTTCTAAAATTTCTGATTCTGGTTCTGGTTTGCTCTGGCATTGGCAATTTTACCCTTGGAATATATATGTGTGTGTGTGTGTGTGTGTGTGTGTGTGTGTGTGTGTGTGTTGTGTGTGTGTGTGTGTCTGTCTGTCTCTCTCTTGCTCTGTGTAAGGCTTCTTTGTAGTCTACAAGTCTTTAGCCTTTTTTGTTTTTTGATCCAGAACCAAATTTCTTTGTCATTCTCCCCATGTCCAGCTTTACAATGATTTCAGAGAATAAGGATTATATTGATTTAACTGGGATGAGGGGTGTGTTACTGAGTTGGTTACAGAATTCTCCTACGCAACCAATGTTAGAACATGAACTGTAGTCATTTTTATGGTCTTCTGATTCATGTACGTGAATACTGTAAGGCAAGGTAACTGAGGGTCCCACAAAATGATGTCTCTTGTTGCTTCTGGATGCATAATAAAACCAGCTCTTCTAATTTTTATATGCCTCTCCAAAAAAAGTCTGATGAGCCAGTCACTTACTTCTATCTTCTGGTTTAACTTATAGTGAGACTGTCACTGCTGATATGATTTAGTTCCTACCATAATACCTCCACTCATTGGGTCTTGGACAAGCAGTTCATATTTAAATTACCAAAAGTTAAGTTAATGTTTATGCCTAGGCTAAAAACTATGATTCTTATCATTCTCTGCATCCTTTCCTGCTACTCTCCTTGCAGAAGATGAAAGGAACTACACAAGACTGAGGTCCATTTGGTGTTTTTCTTTGCTTCATGGGTTGACATAACCAAATAATTCAACAACCAGCAGCCAGCTGACTGGTGATAAGCCTTTCTAGTCTTGGCTGATCTGGGGCTCAGAAATAAGACAGTTTATCACCAAGACCATACTCAAAGAAACCTTTCCAGAACGATATAATGTGACTTTTCGACTGATAAGTTTCCTCCAAACCATAACGAGGTATCAGAGGACTTCTGTGTAGGTCAAATTAAAGAACAAAAAAAGAGTAAAAACAGGCAAAGACAAGAACACAAGGCTATTCTCATCTGAATTTGTAGAGACAATGTATGGAAAGTGCTTTGTATACCTTGATGCAATATGAAAATACTACCTGTGATCATAAGAGGTTCATTCTTTGGCCACTTTGATAATGTAAAAGAGTAACTACTCAAATTATTCATTTCATGTTGTTTGAATTCATCATAATTACTCATATGCTTAGGAACATTTTAAAAATATGGGTATTTCTATAGGATTATTCTGTTACATAGCTCAACAATATTATAAAATTGGATTTAGGATAGCTAACCTAATGAGCATGACCCTTCAACAGTTACACAAATGAAATATGGTTGTCTTCCAATTTGTTTTTCTAACCACAGGAAAAGATTTACTTCCTTTTTGTGGGATACATTGCTACAATGCTTTCTTGAATGATATTAAGCACTGATTATCAACAAAACAGTCTGATTAATTCACCTAAAAAAAGTCTTAAAAAACCCAGAAGTATCCAAAGGAGTCTGCAAGCAGACAAAAACCCATAAAGCTATTATCAGCTTTGTAATCACCTCTATTGTAATTACCTCAATTTGAACACTTCCTTTTACTATTCATAAAATGAGGTTTTGCATCCAAGAAAGTTAAGGTTATACCCTTTCAACTTGCTGGAGATGTAAAGGCAGATATAATTTGGATCTTCATTATTTTCTTATTTTAACCACAATGGAAGAAATTGGATTGTTCATAGTAATTGTTTCTGATCATCAAAGACATTTTCAAAATGGCCAATCAGCAAGGCCAGAAAAAAAGATCAGGTATTCTGAATTATGAGGCAGCTAGTGGTACAGTGAGCAGAGTGCCAGCCCTGGAGTCAGAAAGTCTCATCTTCCTAAGTTGAGATCTGGCCTCAGACACTTGCTAGCTGGGCAAGTCACTTTACACTGTGTGCCTCGGTTTCCTCGTCTGTAAAATAAGCTGGAGAAGGAAATGGCAAACCACCCCAGTATCTTTGCCAAGAAAACCCCAAATGGGGTCATGAAGAGTCAGATAGGACTGAAACAACGGAACAAAAGCTTTGAGTTACAAACATATTTTTATGACTGTCCATTACCAGTGATCAAGTAGCCGTACACAGACTTTTCCTCCAGAGTCAGTGTGATACAGGGGATAAATTGCTGGATCTCAAGTTAGACAACTCGTGGTCAAACCTCAGCTTGGCTACCAACTACTTCAATGTCCTTGGGAAATTCAAGTCAACAAATATTCGTTAAATGCCTCACAGATGCCAAGCAGTACTGGGGACACAGAGACAAGAACAAAGCAGGATGGCCCTAAGATTACATTCACCTGGGAAGGAAAATACAAATAAATATGAAATAACTTTTACAATGTGGGGAAATCAGGAAAAACACCTGTAGGAGGCAGTATGGCATGGTGGACAGATTGCTGAATTTGAAGTCAGAAAGGTGGGTTCAAATATAATTGCAGATATTTACTGGCTGTATGATCCTGGGCAAGTCACTTAACCACCCCAAGCCTCTGTTTCTTCATTTGTAAAACGAAGGGATTGGACTTGATGATCTCTAAAATCCTTCCAAGCTCTAACTCTTATGATGTCTAGGAAGTGGTATTTGAGTTGAACTTTGAAGGGACCTAGAAATTTCAAGAAGGCAGAGCATTCCAGGCATGGGGGAGTCTGTATAAAGGCAGAGGCAAGACGATGGACTGAAGAGGTGAGATACAGCAGCCAGGGAGACCATTTAGGAGGCTGAGAGAAGATGAGTCTGAATTGGCCTTGAGTGGAGATGAAACTGACAAGACTTGGTGAATGAGAGTGGACATACAGAAGATACTGTGGAAGTGGAACCCATATAACTTGACAGTTTGATATGGTGGTGGTAGGTGAGGGAGTAAAGAGTCTGAGGTTGCATACCTGGGTGACTAGAAGGATGACGGTGCCTGTAACAAAAACAGGGAAGTTAGAAGGAGAGCTGGGTCTAGAGGTAAAGATAATGAAATCTGGACATGCTGAGTTTGAGAAGTATATGGAACACCCAGGCAGAGGTGTCTAGCAAGCAGTCAGAAATATAAGACCACACTCAGGAGAGAGAGGGGGATGTGCATGGGATATAGACTGAGGAACTCATATGCATAAAGGTGATAATTGGGCCTGCTGGAACAGCCGAATACAGGGGTTGGAACATGGAGGTCAACCTTGCCAAGTGCACTGAGGACTGATATAGATAGGTAAGAGGAGAAACAGGAGAGAGCAATGTTATTACAACCCAGAAAGGAGACACTACCCAGAAGAAGATGGTGGTTGGAATTTTCAAATACTGGGGAGGTCAAGAAAGATGAAAGATGGACAAAAGGCAGGTTGCTTAACCAATCTTTTAGAATGAAGGCACTGGACTCCAGGTCCCTTCCAACTCTCAATTTATAAATCCCCAACTATTTAGAATAGATTTGATCTCCTTCCCAAACTCATGCCATGTAGCAATGAAACTGTTCTGAGTGGCTAACATGGGGCATAGAACACCTCACCCCAAATCCCTTCTCACCACTAACTTTCCTGCTGTAGGAGGCATAACTCATGCAGCACATTTATTGAACAGTTATAAATACTTACTGAATACCTATCATATAAGAAGCTCCACAAAAGTCTCCTAGTTACCTCATTTTTTCATTAAACCTAGTTTTGCTCGAGCATTTTAGTAATTAACATAAAAAGTATGCAGAAGTTATTTAGTATTACAAGTAAATATTTACTCTTTAAAATTACTGGAGTCATAACAATATTGTTCTCAATTATTTTTCATCCCAAATTGGCTACATTTGGGTCTTAATTAAATGAGAGGTCACATTTACATGAAGATTTTAGGTTTATAAAGCACTTATTCACAACTCAGAGGTAGTAACGCAAGTATTACCCTCATTTAATAAGTGAGAGAACAGAGACTCAAATGTCATTTAATAACCAGACCAGTTAAGTTCAGAGAGGTTTAAACCTATTAAATCATTTACTAAGATATGAAGAGAACCTGTCCCTCTCTTGCTCCCTTTTTCTTTCCTTCCTTCTTTCTTAACTTCCTTTCTTCCTTCCCCTCCCTCTTACCTTCTCTTCCTTCCATCTACCCATCTACGGAACAAATACTCTCATTGGTGAATGATCTTTAAGTTCTGAGGTATAGGTTAAATAGACCTTTGTGGCTAGGTTGAGAACCTAACAATTATTTATCAAATATTATTATGAAAAAATCAATTCTTAGTTCCAAACAGCTAATTTACAAATGAACTTTGAGTACAACTCATTGGTAAGTTAGGGACTTTTTATATAAACTGGAGTTCAAATCCCACTTCAGACACTTACTAGATGTATGATCCTGGGCAAGTCACTTAACCTCTGTTTGCCTCAGTTTCCTTATCTGTAAAATGGTGAGGATCAAATGAGATATAATTGTGAAGCCCTTGGTACAGTGCCTAGCACATAGTAAGTGCTATATAAATGTTAGGTATCATCATCCTCATCCTCATCCTCATCACCACAAAGCCAAAATGGCAAGAATGAGAATGAGATATGACACAACAGTAAAGATATCAAATTAGTGATGCATGGTATACAAAGATTACAGAAGGGCTTAAAAGTAATGGAGTTCAAGCAATAAGGAATTACTGTAGGTTCTTGAGCAAGGGAGAAATACAACAAGGGTGACATTTTAGGAAGGTTAATCTCACAAAAGTGGGCAGGCTGAAGGGAAGCTCAGGCGTTGGGAAATAGGGGCAGAGAAAGGCTGCTTGAGAAGCAAGTGTAATGATTTGCATCTGAGGTCACTTGATCTAGGGCAGTGGCAGTCAGAAGAGAAAGTAAAGCATTAATCTAAGGCACATTTTAAAGAAAAAACAATGGGACTTGGAGACCAAATGGATGTGAGGCCTCTCCTAAGTTCTAGTAAGTCAAAAGTGTCTCTGTTATCTCTAGCCCTACCTAGCTATTCCTTCCTCTAGAAGTATAACAAAAAGGCAGAGGAAGTAGCCTGACTCCTTGCAGCAATCTTCATGGCTGGCCCTTAAAAGTTTGGTTCTTCCTCATGTGGTAGGGCCCAGAATATTCTCACTTCTAGCATAGTGATTGACCAAAAGAACAGCGGTGAAGAACCTTGGATAGATAGTGAGCACACAGATAAGAGTTAACATTTTCCTTAAGATACATGGCAGTGGACACTAATGTGCAGTACTTTAAAACTGACATCAAACAATAACACTTAGGATAGTGCCACTTAAATTTAAATACTGTGCTAACAGGTGGGGGATGGAAAACCGTCTCCAGCACTACTGCGAAACAAGTACAGATTACGGCCAAGGAGAGCTCCCGGGACTTACCCTGCTGCCCCTGTGGCGTCTGTGAGATGATAAACTGTGCTGGCTGCAAGCTGGTGGTTGGATGCACCAACACAAATTGTTGCAGGTTGAGATTCTGCTGTTGCAGCTGCTGTAGCTGTTGCAGATCCTGAAAAAAAAAATCTGTATCTGAGATGCTGAGATAAGAGTCTAACCAGGTCCATTCCAACTAATCAACCCTCCAAAAGTACAGATAGATAGATAGATAAGATAGACAATATTACAAGTCCTCTCATACCTCCAAAGCTTTGCTCTAGTTTACAGGTGAGTAAACAGAGGCACAGAATTTCAAAAGAGGAAGGAATCTCAAAGGTCATCCAGGCTAAGTGCCACGAGAATAAGAATCCCCTACCAGTGTCTATCCAAGATCAGCACTGGCTTGAAGACATCTAATAAGGAGGACCCGCTGCCCCCAGAGGCAGCTTGTTCCACTTTGGGGCAACCTTAAACGGTATTTTTTCTTCACTGAACCCTAAAGCTGTCTTTGCAACTTCCATCCAGTGCTCCCAGTCCCATCTTCTGCAGGTAAGCAGAAAAAGTCTAATTCTTCTTCCATACAGCTGCTGACATTCAAACTGCTGCCTGGGAGTCAGCTATCACATTTTTTCTCTTATTCCTTCACCCCCTGCCCCTTCCTAGTCTTCTCTTCCTCAGGATAAACATCTCTAGTTTTTCCCAGATTCTCACATGAAATGGGCTTGAGGCTCCTCACCTTTCTTTGGATGGATGACCTCCAGCTAATCACTTTCGTTCCTGAAAAGAAGTGCTCAGAATGGAACACAATTTTCTGGATGTGGCCTTCTCAGAGGAGGATACATGTGGAGCTATCACCTGATAAGATTCTGAAAACCACATCTCTTTCAATGTAGCCTGAGACCGGATTAACTTTTTTCAGCTGCCATGTTGTCCTAATGATTGATACTGAGGACACAGTTACTAAACCCTCATGTCTTTTTCTCATGAAATGCTGTCTATTAGTGAGGTAGCGTCACCCAAGGTCACACACCTTATAAGTGGTAGAGTTGGACCTTCTGCATCCAAGTCCAGTGATTTTTCCACTGACAGAAGAGTTTTTTCAACAGGTCTATCATATTCAATGACAAAAGCACACAAACCGGCACAGACAAATAATAAGGCATATGTTCACCTAAACAAGCATCTGTCTGTTGCCTGCCCTCTCCATGTCCCCACCCCCCACCCCCCAAGGCACACACAGTATCTCAACAAAGAACTTACAATTTCATGGACTTTGGTGTGTCAGAACTTTGACTATAAATAGATAGAACAAATCTGTTTCTTTTAAAAATTCCTTATTCATAGAGAAAACTAGATTGAAAAAGCCATTTAAAAATTGAAATGGGATCTCAAAAATACTAGATTTATTTTTATCTAGATGTTAATAATACCTCATTATCTAACCACCATTCATAACTAGTTTCTTTTTTCTGTCCAATCAAACTCTTGTCATTGTATTTAAATCTTTTGTTTGGCTCTTGATAGAAAACTAACTGCTTAGCATCACTTTTAAGAAAATAACATTTCACATGTTTTTCACATACATAAGACCAATCTCATCCCTTAATCTTGGTTTTTCTTAATTTAAACAACTTCATTAACCATTTTTGACAGATTCTGTTTTCTGTCTTCTAAATAATTTGATTAGTGTTCTATGGATTTCCCCCATTTTAGACTTAAAATGCGAAAACTCAAACCAAACTGCTCTGAGTGCCTGACCAATACCAGAGACCACATAGCTCAGTGACTACTTCCTTTCTCTTGCAAACAGATGAGGTGCCTTATCCTAACTGCTGAACACATTAAACAATCCATGTCTGCTACAATTAACTAATTAAAATAAATATAGTAATCCCTCTGCTGTAGAGAAATGCCAATTAATTATTCAAGAACTGTCACTTAAATAAACAGTCAGTTATTAGGTAATCAGCTCTGTGTTTACAATATAAAGTCAAACAGATGTATTATATTTACAGCAGAATGACAAGGACAACGGACTGGATACAGCTTGGCTCCCTTCTCTGTAACTGCAGTGGGTGGACAGGGATCCCAACAGCATTCCCACTGGCTCTCCTGGGCACTCACCTGTGCGATCTGTATGGGCTGCGACAGGGGAATCTGCGTCATCGGTGTTGCAGCGGAGGCTGAGATGGTGGCGCCCGCAGCACTGTGCTGCTGGCTGGCCGAATGCTGAACTGCGGCTGCTAGCAGCTGGGCCTGTGCCTGCTGTAGCAGTAACTGCTGCTGGGCCGGTGTCAAGGCAAGCTAAACACAGTTAGAACAAGCAGCGGTCAGTGGCTGGTGCTGAAGGATCTCCTGGTCCTACCTACTCACTAAGAACTGGGAAGGAGCTCAGGAGCTTACAGTCTAACCTTACTAGCTACCAAACCTGACTTGGGTATCTTTCAGGGCCAAGTGGGAGGGTGACCCGGCTACTAGCTGGTAGTTCCAAGATCATTTCAGCTTGGAGCTAGCCATCAAGCTACACTTAGGATTTAAAGAATCTTCCAAGCTTCTCCAAGGCTCCAGGGTTTATACAAAAAGTAATTAACTAGCAAGCCAAAAAATAAAATAAAAAAAAATCAGCCCTGACAGAATACAAAAAGAAATTTATACTCAACAGAACAGTAAGTGATTAGTCCGATGAATGAGAAATAGGAATGCTGGATATGGTCACGGAAAGAAGTGATAAGGCCCCAGCTGCTCCACATTAGCATGAATCCCTGCCATATTCCATCATTCTCATTATGTCTAAAGATATGACTAAAGAACATGAGCTCCATTTACTTCCTCTCCAAGTCTACCCCACATCATCTTTTCTGTTGTTGAAAGGATTGAGTCTACAACTTTGCATCCCTTTTCCAAACACATATTATCTCTGTGAAACAGGTGGTGAAGGCCTGTCTCTTTACATGCAAATGAATCCTAATGCTCAGGTTTAAAAGAATTCCCATCTACACAGACCTGGAATCCTAAGTGCCTCTGATCATGGAAGACAATCATTATGCAAAACAAAACACATATATAATAACAATTATTATTATAAAAAGAAACCTGCTTAGACTGGATTTAAAACCTGCTTTTATAACGCAACTTAAGTTGTACTTTTGGAAAAAAAAGGTAAAATTAAATCAGTGTGTTTACTCAAATTTATTACAACTATCTTCCTCTTAACTGAAGTTTCCACAATAAATGAAACTGAACAAAGATCTTTAAGTGCCATTCAAACAGAAGGTGTCATTTCACATTCTGAAGAGTAAGGTCTACCAAGTTAATGAAATCATCTTCTTCATAAGGAGAACAATCCCCTAAATTGTACATAAAATATTTAGGAATCAAAACTGAATTAATCTTTCCAAAAAACATGGCCAGCTCCACAAAAATCCTTTAAAGGTAAGTCTCCCATGTCTAACACTAACTTTACTGAAATAAAGAGCTAGGAGATGCCAAAAAGACAAATAATTTATTAAATAAAAATTAACATATTAGAAAACATTTCAGTACATCAAAACAATAACTCCAATATGCCTAATAATTATCAGAGTTAATATGAAAACAATTTTCTCCCCCCATGCTATTTGGAGTGAAGTCATAATGCTGTATTTGACAATATTAATGATTTGTACAACACTGCTGCCTCACATCGAATAATGATTCCATTGCATGGTGAAAAGCAACTAAAATGGGGGCGAGAAGGCCCTTATTTTACTCAGAACATCTGCTATCATAACAAGAGATCCACTGAATGCTTTTGACAAAGAAGATTTGCTCTTCCAGTGCGACAGTCCTTTTTTCAGGATATAATAGTGTCAGGCATAGATAGCTATATTACTGATGGTGGACAGTTCTCATCAGATAGCAAGCAATGGAAGCTTTATAAGTAAGTTTACTAGAATTCTTGAGAAAAAACTTACCCCTGTTATCTGTCCTCCAGCCAGCATGAGCTGAGTTTGGGGGATGGGTGCCTGCACTGAAGGCTGCTGGGAAGGCTGGCTTGGCTGCTGGGAGTCCCCAGATTCTTCATTAGATTTAGACTAGGAAAAGAAAACCACACACACACACACACACACACTACAACTCTATAATAGTTTTAAGAGAGATGTCTATAGCTCCCTATTTAAAGAACATGGTTTCAGTCAGTCTTTTCTGATGCCCAGTTGCTAGAGTATCCCCCATCCTACCAAAATTCACCTTGTAATAATTTTGTATGTTTCTTTACATATAAATTTTTTCTGTGACAGAGTGCAAGCTCTCTAAGAGCATGGCCTGTTGTACTTCTGTCTCCATATCTCTAGCATCTAGCGCAGGACCTTGCACTTAGTTAACGCTTGCTGACTGACTGATTTTAAAATACAGGTTTGGTCTGTTCAGCTATTATCACAGTTAAAGATATTTAATTCTTTATCTTTGTTTAAGTCCTCTGAGTATGATATTTGATATATCTGAATTTTAATTCCTTTGTTCCATCAGCACCAAAGTTGCAATTCTAATTTTCAAAAGTAAAAATAAATCTGACCTACAAAAACTGATGAAGTTTTTTCACAACTTAAAATATTAAACTACAGAAACGTGAAAGAATATATATATTCGATTTACCTCTGCCTCAAAACCTCTATGTCATTATTTTGAAATTTACCTGGTGGTCAGTTTGTAATATTTTCAAATGTCAATTTGGAGATGACTCACCTGACCCCCCAGGTTCTCTAAATGGTGGTTTCAAAGCAGTTTCATACTCAACATTTCCAATCAAATTAAAAAAAAAGTTTAAAGAGAAAATACTGTATTCAAGAGGGAAAGCACACTCCCCCAATGGGGTACTGAGAGAAGATTCTGTGGTAATTAAAATTGGTTATGCAGAGCATTAAAATTCTGCATAGATCTGCATATTTCCCACCACCTGTTTCAGGGACTGCAGAGCAGGCTAATTAACATAAAGGCTCTGATTAATTCTGCCAGTCATTGAGAGATAATTATCGAGCAGGACTGTAAACATTCTGCATTGGAGATACAGCCTGTTTGCCAACATCTCTCTGAGGGATGAAAGTTTACCATGGCAACCAAGGTAATTTTCTGCCTCCTCTCCCTCAGAAAGGAAGGCCACTCACTCAATCTCCTTTCCCTTTCTTTAGAACTGTTTCCTTCTGTTACTAGGTCCCTGTTCTGTGAGGTTGCACAGTTTGCTCAATCCAAGTCCTTAAGTGTTCAGCAATACTGAAACTCATCTTTAGTGACACTATTTTTGATGTTTTCACTTTGTTATTCAGGCATCACAATGAAAGAAAGTAGCATGTTGGATGAAATCGTACAGAGCTCTTCATGGAACTCAAATTTAAATTCAAAGTCTGAGTAATTTTGTTTGATAAATAAAGTGTGTGTGTGTATGTGTGTGTGTGTGTGTGTGTGTGTGTGTGTGAGATTTCCAGTTCTGCCTGAATGGAGGCTGGTATCCCCCTACAGGGCTGCCCTACATGTTCTCCTCCTCTTCTACACTCTCTCATAACCTCATCAGTTCCCATGGCTTTAACCACCATCTTGGTACAACACCAGTCTCTCTCATGATCTCCCAATTGTTTATTTTCAGACATTCCAGAATGGATATCCCAGAGACATCTTTAAGTGAATATGACCACAACCGACCTCATTATCTTTCCCCCTAAACCTTCCCTTATGTTTATGCTGAAGACACCACTATCTCTCCACTCTCCCAAGTTCATAACCTTGGCGTTCTCCTTGATTCCTTGCTCTCCCTCCCTGATGTACAGCTTCACAGTGTCTCTTGTTTCTGCCCCTTCTTTCTCCTCACACAGCTACTTGGTTCAAGGCCTCGTCTCCTACTGTCAAAGCCTAATTGATCTCCCTACCTCAAGTCTCTCCCTACCTCAAGTCTCTCCCTACTTCAGCTCCTCCTATTCACTGCTACCGGAATAATTTTCCTTAAACACAGACCTTACCACATTACTCCCTGATTCAGTCACCTCCAAAGGCTTCACAATGCCTCTATGACCAATATAAACTCTCCTCTGCACCTTTTAAAGCACTACACACCTGGCACCAACCTACTTTTCTAGCTTCACTATACTTTACTCCCCTCCAGTACTCTGAGATCTGGCCAAAGGTGTGTCCTTTCTTTTCTATAGCTTCCATTTCCAGGCAATGGCATGGGTCATCCCACAAGCTGAGCACATACTCCCTCCTGACCTTCAACCTTGTAGCCACTCTCTTCCTATAAGACACAGTTCAAAGTACTACCTTCTTCATGAATCCTTTCCTGATTCTCATTGGTGCTTTCCCTCCACAATTACCTTGTACTTAACAACTCTGTATATATTTATTATCTTTATATATTGTATATTTTTATAGGTAATCATGATCCCCACTGGAATGTAAACTCATTACCAGCAGGATCGTTTCATTATTTGTACTTGCATCTCTAATACCTACCACAGAATCTGGCACACAGTAGGCACTTAATGTTTTTTGATTGATTGACCATTTCAATTTTAGTAAAATTTAGCAAAGACAATAAATAAAACTCCATACAAAATACATTTTGAAACTGAAGTGTATTGAGAGATCATTTAATTTTTTATTCTGGTATTTGCTGTAATTTTTACAAATTTGACAACTGATTAATAATACTTCTAATTGGTTGGCAAGATACATAGAATTTTATGGTCCACAACCGTGGCAGACATTATTATGAACTTTAAGAATGGAAATAAGGACATATGTGGGATTGTGAACTTTAGTGATAAGATAATTCTTACCTGTACATTTAAGGACTGAGCAGCAGCCTGTAAACTTGTTCCAGCGAGTTGGACCTACAATAGAATAAAATTTACTTTAATAAGTTGAATATGGAAAAAGACTGTAATATTACTATTTCCACATATGGTGGATTAACCAGAAGTCAGCATTCTCAGAAAATATTTATAAGAAGTCTATTCTACATAAGCTACTGTATGAGAATTGGAGATACAAAATCCGAAGATGTGCTCCCTGTACTATAAAAGGGTAAAAAGCCTAACAGAATAGTTTCATATAGCCCTTGCACAATACTACCTCCCCCATTTCTTTTCGACATCTCTGGATATTACTAAATTAATCTTGTAACAAATGATACACTTGTATTGAGGGGGACCTAATATTGCATCCTATTTATTCTACCACACAAATCTGTATCTTCCACACTATACATAAGGAAATACACAAAAGCATGTTACCTGAATATACCACTTTACATTATACAATCAGAATTATAGTGAAACAATTGCCAAAATACCCATTTACACCAAAGAAGTACCCTAACCTTACAGACACAAGTAGATAACTAAATTTTTTTAGACATAAATGAGGTACAACCAACCAACCAACCAACATGTCTCTTCCATAAGCCACACATTAAAAACGAATCTTATTAGCTCACAGTCACACCAAACATTTATTAGCTGGGACACACAAACCACAGTTATACCAAAAAAAGCATTTTTTATGTTGGTCCAGATCTCTGATTTCATCAGTGTAGGAGATCTTGGTGTGGCTTTTTTCTCTAGGTGGGGCAAAAATGTACTCTATCTGTAAGATAAACTTAGAAAGCCTCCCAAGGGCACTCAGCACTTGTGATTTGCCTATGGTCACACAGTCAGTGGACATCAGGTCTTCCTGACTCCAAGGCTAGCCCTCTCATACCAAATAAACATACTAAATTAAAAGTAAGGGGCAGCTAGGTGGCGCAGTGGATAGAGTACCGGCCCTGAAGTCAGGAGGACCTGAGTTCAAATCCGGCCTCAGACCAAACACTTGACACTTACTAGCTATGTGACTCTGGGCAAGTCACTTAACCCCAATTGCCTAAAAACAAAAAAACAAAAACAACATTAACAACAAACATTAAAAGTAAAATTTTTCTATTTAGTGACCTAATTCACTTTTTAAAAAAATATAAATTTATTTATTTTTAGTTTTCACCATTCACTTCCACAAGTTTTTGAGTTTCAAATTTTCGCCCCATCTCCCCCCTCCCTCCACCCCAAGATGGCATGCATTCTGAATATCCCTTCCCCTAGTCTGTCCTCTCTTCTATCTCTCCCCTCTTCTCTTATCCCCTTCCCCTTCTATTTTCCTGTAGGGCAGGATAGACTTCTATACCCCATCTCCTGTATTTCTTATTTCCCAGTAGCATGTGAAAACATTTTTTAAAAACATATGTTTTTAAAACTTTAGGTTTCAAATTTTCTCTCTTCCTCCCTCCCCATCTACCCTCATTGAAAAGGCAAGCAACTCAATATAGGTTATACATGTGCAGTTATGCAAAACACTGTCCATAGTAGACATGTTGTGAAAAACTAACTCTATTTCCCTTAATCCTATCCTGCCCTCCCATTTATTCTATTCTTTCTTTTGACCCTGTCCCTCCTCAGAAGTATCTTCTGATTACCCCTTTCCCATCTGCCCTCCTCTCTATCATCCCCTGCTTTCTTGTCCCCTTCTCCCCCTATTTTCCTGTAGGGTAAGACAGATTTCCATACCCAATTGAATGTGTATGTTATTCCCTCCTTAAGCCAAATCCTATGAGAATAAGATTCACTCATTCCCTCTCACCTTCCCCTGTTTCCCCTCCACTGTAAGAGACTTTTCTTTTCTGTTTTTTTTTGAGATAATTTACCCCATTCTACCTCTCCCTTTCTTCTTCTCTGAGTATCATCCTCTCTCATCCCTTAATTTTATTCTCCAGATATGACCCCTTAATCTTCAACTCACCCTGTGCCCTCTACCTATATATACATACATATAATTTTTTTCCTCAACTACCCTAATACTGACAAAGGTCTCATGAGTTATAAATCATCTTTCCATGCAGGAATGTAAACAGTTCAATCTTAATAAGTCTCTTATGATTTCTCTTTCCTGTTTACCTCTTCATGTTCCACTTGAGTCCTGTATTTGAAAGTCAAATTTTCTATTCAGCTCTGGTCTTTTCATCAGGAATGCTTGAAAGTCCTCTATTTCACTGAATGACCATTTTTTCCCCTGAAGGATTATACTCAGTTTTGCTGGGTAGGTGATTCTTGGTTGTAATCCTATCTCCTTTGCCCTCCTGAATATTATATTCCATGCCCTGCGGTCCTTTAATGTAGAAGCTGCTAAATCTTGTGTTATCCTGATTGTGTTTCCACAGTACTTGAATTGTTTCCTTCTGGCAGCTTGTAATATTTTCTCCTTGACCTGGGAACTCTGGAATTTGGCTATAATATTCCTAGGAGTTTTCCTTTGGGGATCTCTTTCAGGAGGAGATCTGTGGATTCTTTCAATTTCTATTTTGCCCTCTGGTTCTAATATATCAGGGCAGTTTTCCTTGATAATTTCTTGAAAGATGATGTCTAGGCTCTTTTTTTGATCATGGCTTTCAGATAGTCCAATAATTTTTAAATTCTCTCTCCTGGATCTATTTTCCAGGTCAGTTGTTTTTCCAATGAGATATTTCACATTGTTTTCTAATTTTTCATTCTTTTGGATTTGTTTTACAGTGTCTTGATTTCTCATAAAGTCACTAGCTTCCAATTGCTCTATCCTAATTTTTAAGGAAGTATTTTCTTCAGTTCTTCCTTGGTTCTTTTTGTAGCTTTTCCTTTCCATTTGGCCAATTTTTCTTTTTAGGGCATTCTTCTCCTCACTGGCTTTTTGGACCTCTTTTGCCATTTGGGTTAGGCTATTTTTTAAGGTGTTATTTTCTTCAGTATTTTTTGGGGTCTCCTTTAGTAAGCTGTTGACTTGTTTTTCATGATTTTCTTGCATCACTCTCATTTCTCTTCCCAGTTTTTCCTCTACTTCCCTTACTTGCTTCTCAAGATCCCTTTTGAGCTCTTCCAAGGCCTGGGACTGATTCATATTTTTCTTGGAGGCTTTGGATGTAGGAGCTTTGATTTTGTTGTCTTCTTCTGGTTGTATATTTTGATCTTCTTTTTCACCAAAGTAAGATAATATAGTCTGACTCTTTTTGTGCTGCTTGCTCATGATCCCGGCCAATTACTTGAGTTTTAAACTCTTTGTTAAGGTAAGAGTCTGCTTCCAATGTGGAGAGTGTACTGTCCCAAGCTTCAGGGGTTTGTATAGCTGTTTTCAGAGATACTTGTAGGGACCTGTAAATTTTCAGTTCTTCCAAGGTGGTATGATAAGGGAAGAGGTGTTTATTCCTTTCCTGGTCTGTGACCACAAGTATTCCTTTCTGTTCTGTAACTGTGAGGAGGGGCTCCTCTCTACAGCCACTACAAGCTCCATCACACCAGCGCTCCTCCTCACCCCAGCACCACCGCCCAGAACTGACCCAGATCCGAACATGGGCAAAGCAAGAGATTCCTGCCTCAGCACTGGCAAAGAGATCCCTGCAATTCCTCTCTGATCAGCCACTGGATTTCCCCTCAGTGTGTGGGCTGGAAGCTCGGGAAGCAGCTGCCCTCCCAGGGCCACGCTCTTGGGGAATGGAGCTGAAACCCCACCTTCCTTTTTGAGCACCGCAGAAACAGACTTTTCCCACTGATCTTCTAAGTTGTCTTTGGCATTGGTTGATTGAGGAGTCTGGAAACCTCCACAGCCACCCACGATTTAGTCCTCTGAGGCCTGCTCCAGGTTTACTGCGGCCTGCACGCCTACGCCATGCTGCGCTCCCAGCCCGGCGTGATACACCTTGCTGATCAATCATCCAGGTTGTCTTGGGCTGGAAATTTGTTTCACTCTGTCTTTTTGTGGGTTCCGCTGCTTCAGAATTTGTTTAGAGCCATTTTTTATGAGCATTTGAAGGGGTTTGGGGGAGAGCTCAAGCAAGTCACTGCTTTCACTCCGCCATCTTGGCTCCGTCCCTGACCTAATTCACTTTTGCAGAGACAGTTTTGAAAAGAGGTGGGACAAGCACGAAACAAAAGATTTAGGTTTTTAAGAAACGAAGATTAAGAAAATTAAAAGTAAAATGATTGATAAAGAAGAAAATACTCTGGACAATTACTATGGGCACATTGGTTCCCTTTTACAAACTAAAGGCAGATCCAACATCAACTCTAAAGATATTCTACCAACCAGGACTGGTAAGGAGAGCTCACGACAGACGGAATCCATTAAAAAGAGGTTCTTTAGTATGCAGACAATGTGGAGAACAAATCTTATCTAGCTGATGTCTGTCCCAAGCAATGCACTGTATACTACTCATTCCTGGTATATGTGCTGAGTGAGTGTCCTGCCTTACATTCTATGGCATAGACTGCACAACAAACATTAAAATTTCTATTTTGAATACGAGACTTTCACAAGCGGAAGAGGGCTTAGAGATCATTTGTTGTTGCTATTTGCCCTTAGTTCTCAAAGAGGACCATGACATCAAGAAGGTGATGCCATGACTTGCAAGTGAATTGGAGTTAAGGAAGGAAGGGCTGTGCAAAGTCACCAGCCTCACTCTCTTCTCCGGAGCCATCTGGGTTCAGTAGCAAGATATTATAGGTCAGGATAATTGGAGATGGCCCCCTAGAGATCGTTTACAGATGAGGAACAATAAGCCATAGGCATTAATCTACCTGTCCAAGGGGAGAAATAGAGTGAGTCAGTTAACAGAACTAGGACCAGAAAGCAAGGCTCTTAGGGATGTCCAGTCTAATGTTCTTTCCACCATTCCATACCTCCTTTCCTAACAGAATGGTTGTTGAATGGGGTAGAGCACCCAATATCATCCAATCCTATCCAATAAGCATTCATTAAATGTCTCCCATGTGAAACACACTCACCCCATGTTGAATGACAGGGATACTAAATCAAAATGAAAAAAACAGTGCCTACC